GCTCGCCGCGGGCTGTCGTCCGTGACGCCTGCTGCACCCGCAGCCGTCGCCCCGCCTGGCCCCGCCTCGCCTCTCCACGCTTGGCCCCGCCCGGCGTCGCCTTCGCCGCCGGGCGCGATCTTCCTGATCTTGCTCATTGAGGCGGGACGCCGCCCTGGCGGGTTCCGGGATGCGCCGCGGGCCCCCGGCCTCGCGGCCCCCGTCGCCCCTCGATGCGCTGTGCCCGTCGCCGACTCCGCCTCCGGCTGTTTTCGCGCCGGGCGTTCTGGTCATAGATAGGGGCATGAACTCGAGTCACGCATTCTCCCTCACGTCCAAAATATAAAAATGTCGTAAAACGTAACTATGTGATTCCCGGGGAAAACCTGGGAAGACGCAAATCCAAGCGCAGAAAAATTACTATGCAGATACAATTATTACTCTACGTTTCACGTGAGACTAAGCCCAGACGAAAGAAAAGAGTGGTGATAACCGGTAACCTGATGTGCCAGCTCTCGTCTGTTTTCCTTGGAGATTCTTCCGTTTACCCGACTTTTCAGTCCACCATTGTTTCATTACCATTCACCTCATCATCGGCATCAAATGCTCACCAGATCACTCTCTCGCTCCAATAATCACAGTCCTTGAATTACCCTTAATACCTATGTACAAATGTCTCACAATAAATAGTACAAACGTTTTAGGGATGTGGAGGGGTCGAGAATCACTTGACAATGAACATGGCGTAAGAAATTTCATTGAACGGAGTGACGCTTGTGACATTTGCCTTTGTTGCTTACGCAAGTCCTTATACACGAGCGTTCTGCGGGTCATGTTCTGACACAATTAAGGGGTCTTCGTGTATCTGCCGAACATGTGTGCAGACGGTTATCCTAACAGTCAGGGTTAAATACAAATAAAACTCAGTAATAGGATAATTCTGACTATATGTTCATTTGCAAAAGGGATAATTTTCTTCTCCTCATTTCTTGGAAGTTTGTGACATTATTCTGAGACAAGTCTGTAAATGCATGCGGAAAGTATCAGCCAGAGAAATGAAGGCCCTTTCGTTGATTAGTGATTCCGGGCTCGTCAACTGATAAGGTCCCGTAATTGTGGGCCATGTTTTTATCGTGGGAAGTGGTGGTGATCTTCCCTCGTTGGATAGCGTTACAGCGTCGACTTACGCCGGCTTGCGTGGATTGCCAAATATCTCTCACCATCGTGCACAGCCCCAACCGGGACAACCTCTTAAGCTCCCTACTGGCTCCCGGCAATTGTGGTGTGCATGTGAAAGTAAATGCGGGTAAGTAAGGGGTGAGGATATGGAAAGGAAGAGGAAGGAAAGATCGCGCTCGATCCGTTGCCCGTTTGATAGAGTACTGCTCCGGCATTCGCCTGGTATGGATCGGAGGAACCATGGAAAACTATCGATAAGAGCTGCCGGTCGCAAGAATTCTCCTCCAGACAGCGGCTGAATTTGACCTAGCTGTCTGGCTAGTGTCGGAAATCCTACCACCGTCTAGAATCGAACCATAGGACCTCCCGGTAAGAGTCACTGTAGTGGCATCAGTAATGCCATGAGCTAACCTTTCCCGGTTAAGACCCTTTGAAAATTCGTGCAATGTGCACTATGTAGAGATGTTAGTTATCAAGGAATGTCCGTTTCTTCCGGAATCCCATCGTTTACTGCATTAAGGTCAAAGATAAAATTGTCATGGTTTGTTCTTTTAATTTTAAACTTGTTTATAGCGATAAACATTGTCGAGCCTTGCACGAGTACCACAGGCCGCAAAATTTTAGGTAATCCAATCAACTGGTGCTCAAAAGGACCCGATTCAAGAAAAAAAAAATTTTTTTTTTTTCCACCGGTTACGTGTTTTTGGGAACTGAATACGAATATGACGTTTGTCATTTGGAGAAATGTCAGTTTCAGAAAAAATGTCGCCAAATGTTTCAGATTTTCGATTACATCTCGAAAACTGCGCTTTAACGAAAATGCCATCGCTAATTACGTCTGTAATTAATTTAATTAAAGAATACGTAGTAGAATTCTCTTTGACATGGATATACAGTAGAACCTCGCAAATCCGAAATTTCGGATAATCGAAACAAAATACGTGATGAAGGAAAAATAAACAAAATAAAATGCTGATTTGTAGTGTAAAGAAAGGAAATGAAACGTTTGTTGTACTGGTAACTACGATGCGTATTAATGTTTATGTAGCAGTAATTTTCACTTAGAGGAACTTGCAAAATCGGTAATATTTTGCTGTAAGGAACTGAATCTGCTTGATATTGCGATCGCTATCCTACGTTTACATTTTCTCACATCGCATTCTACATTGTATTGTCTCGTAATTCTATAAATTCGTATTTGTATTTGTACGGTACATTTTTTCGGATAATTCGAACATTTCCGAATCGGAACAGACCACACCTCCAATTAGTGCGGATTACCGGGGTTCTACTGTACTGACTTTATTTTTGGAGAGTCTCAATGAAAGATTGATGGAGTTCAGAAATAAGTGTCTACAACATATTCAAAGAATGAAAAATTCCCGTTTACCGAAGTTAGCCTTCCAATATAAGCCAAGAGTTAGGAAGGTAATGAAAGAGATGGAAAGAAGTTGTAAGAGGTCGGGACAGTCACAAGCCAAATCCTTGAAATTACGTTTATTTTGCCGACAATTGTTTTAGGTACTAAAGTGTAAACGGTGACTTTTTGGCCCTCTGGCTAAAGCGGAAGAACTATTGCCGCCCTATTATCTCACAGCGGCGCTCTAGTTTGACTATATCATGTTCGGAACTATTTGCATTATTAAATGATTAACACTCCGTTACTCGTAGACCTGTGGGAACTCGTTTACTCGAGCAGAGTATTTGAATATCCCAGTCAGTTCGATAATAACTAAAATATGTCGTAAACAAGAGAGAAAAGACAAAGAAAATAGAAGAGACAATCTGTTTTATACTATGCAGTATGTTCATATAATATTTGTACCAGCAATATGTTCTCCCATGTGCCAAATTATGATGGAAGAGAAAGAATAAAAGTAATGAGTAAATTTTAAGTGTGAAAAAAAAAATAGGATCAGATATTTATTTCGGTAAGTAAGATTTTGGATAAAAGGAAAGAGATCATCACTGCAGATTAATACGATGATACGGCTCCATAATGCACTAAATGTTTTTAAAAGGTTAGCATTTTACTTATCATTTTTATTCAAATTAAAATTTTCAAAATATTCTTAAACAAAATTTTCTAAAGAAAAGAGGATCCAAATTGGGTGATAGCAGTAGAAGACGCCATCGTTAAGAATATTTTTTGTAGTTTTCTTAAAATTCCTGGACTGCAGTACTAAATGCGTTAGGAGAAATTTAGTAGTCGCTTAGCATAACTTTTTTTGAATAGATCCGTTGTCTAAAATTGGCCAATTTTCAATATTTTCTGTTTTTTGTTTATTCAATTGCATACGTCAATGCGTTTGAGTCCTTCAAACATGTTCAAAAAAAGGGGGCATCAATTAATGTTCTAGTTTTGCAATAACTTTATTAATAAGATACATCTTATTTATATCTTTGTATAAACTTATATTTCTGTAAAAGAAGAAAAAATAATTCGTTCTATTTTCCGCACTAGAAGATATCTCCTCGTCACGCACGTTTGAAGTGAGTGAGAAATCTTCGTTTCTTATTTTTATAATTTTGTACT